CCTCCTTTGTGCTCGACACTTCTTGTTACTGGTTTCCTATGTAGACTATATCCCACCATTTTCGAGTCATTGATGAGCACCTGATGTTCACCTGCAGTCCTTGATGGTTTGTATATTCCTCTTTTGTGCTCGACAGTTCTTGTTACTGGTTTCCTATGTAGACTATTACTCCGTCGTTGTATTCATTTTTGTGTACGCAGTCTCGTCGTTTCAACATGGAGTCGATGCAAACCGAAAGCCACCCTAGAGTTGATTGTGTTGAATACTCACCGAGTAACCTAAGATTTTTCTGCCTTGTCTTGTGCGTCATCTACATGGTGGTGTCATCTATATAACTAAAAAAAGCTCCTTGTGGACAGTTTTATCTGGTCAAAGTTTTTTGTTCAAAGTACTCCATATAAACATGTCATTGCTGTGGGTACTGAAGATCCCATGGCTAGGCACTGTTCTTGAGTGTACACAGCCTAGACACATAGCTGACGAATGGATTTTACATCTAAAGGCAAGTTGTCTAACCGTTTTTTCAATTGCTCACGAAAGTCCGTGATAGTCCTACTGATTACGCCCCGAGGTGGTAACATCAGGCCGGTTTTCAGGTTTTCGGGTAAGGTTGTTTGTCCATTGCAGCCAGATGATAACAAAACGGTATCCTCTCTGGCCTATCGTTGTCACTCACTCCAGCGTTCCGTGCTTGTGATTCAGCGGCATTCTAGCATTCACATACTCACTGTTTTGGAGGTGTTTGGCCCCTGGACGGTAGATAAAACAATATATTTGATTACCAGCTGGGGCGAAGGAGAAAAAGGCAAGCACCATTTCGTCCCAACTAGGTTTACAGCTGGCCACTGACCGACGTAAGTTGTGACCACTGCTCATATTATCGCTTGGTCTCAGTTTTGGCTGGCAGACCACTGATTGGCTCCTGTAAGTGGAGCCATTCTATAGTGAAAGGGCGAGAAGCACTGTACAACCGCTTTTTTCTTACTGAAATCATCCGCAGCGTGCATCTCACGCAACTCCAGGAAATCTCCAGTCTTCGAAATCTCCCTTGGTAGTTTGAAAAACTAACAGTTCGCTTACGAAGCACAGATCAGCAGTGCTTCTCGGCTTTTCGGGCATAGCTTGTTTTCACTTATAAGACGAATTTTTTGTTAAAATGTGTCGTTTAAAGCCCGATTACTAGCAGCCAGGTGAGTAGGAGGTAACCTCAGTAGATTGGTTTCATTTTTGAACTGTAATGGCAGGATAACCTGAATCCGTTTTTTCATCTAGGTGCGAATGTTTACGTTAGATTTAGTTGGTTCTCAAATTCATTTTGGGCCGTAACCAATAGCCATTGTTGTACTCTCGTTCCTGCATCCATTGTGCTAACGATAGAGCTCATTAATTGGCCACCATGTTTGCAAGGACAATGGAACAATGCATTGTCATGAAATTATCAATCTTAGTCCGTTACAAATCAAATCGGCCTTATGAGACGCGGTCACTCGAGGGTCCACTCAACATCATGTAACGTAACATGGACTGCGTGAACGGCTAGTACCAGTGCCATAACTTTTTTATGACAAATTTATATCCCTTATGAGGGCTCTGTTTGTGATCTCCTGTGGGCACGTACGAGTGCGCCTCACCCCTGCAAAGTGTAAAGTGCCACCACAAGACTGTTTAGGATCAAACCCACACTTCATGCTCAGAGGTGAGCCAGTCGACGTGGTAGATAAATTTCTTTACCGAAACAGTTGTATAAATTCCGGTGGAGTGGCGGAGATGAGATTACTCCTCGAATCGAGAAGTCCAGGGTAGCTTTTGCCAACCTCTTACATCTATGGCGCCGACATGACGTGAGTTTGTCTGTCAAGAACAGAGTTTTCAATGCGGCAGTATGACATATACTGCTTTATGGGTCACAGACGTAGTCTCAACGCGCAGAGGACATGCAGATGTCAGGGTTTGACCATCGGTGTCTCCGAAGCATTGGTCATGTCTGATGGGAACATCGGACTGGTTATGCTAAGGTAAACCAGATGGTCTTAGGAAAAAGGAATTATTCACGCTTCATAGTTTACGCTGTTTAGGACATGTACTCCGCATGCCAGAAGACTGTCTACCTCACAAGGCTGTTTTCGCCTGGCAACGAAGTATGAAAACACTAACTAGTCGGTTCGGCAGCTGCCACATCCCTGGATGGGAACCCCGGGACTCATCTCACCAATGGTTAATTACAGGCCGAAAGGGACCGAATGGCTCATTCAATCGCGCTCGTGCATCAAAGCTGTCGCCTTCAATTCGTAGCTATCTAGTTTCCGAACTAGCCAATCGTGCTATCGCCCCCAAGGCTTGACTATATGTTCCATACACTCCCACTTTTCGGTGATTGAATCTGTAGCGACTGGAATTAATGCAACTGTGGCACACGGTTTATAGCTGGTGAAGCGATTTGATTGGTTTAGCTTTTTTCGTAAGGGGGTAAATTACATTTCTGGTCGTTGTGTTGAATAGTTTGTTGGTCCAGATAGCTTCAGAATATCGTGAGATACGAATCGTTTATGACTCATAACGATGGGAAACCAACTGTGGGTGTCTTGACATAGGGTAAACTCACTTATGAGGAGAAATCGATACTTGCAGCTTCTACAAGTTTTCGGTCAATTAGCTAGTGTGTCACATTTTTCGCGTCATGCGACCTGCTGACAACGTCTCAGAGAAGAAATTCGAACCCTTTCTGAAATGTTCTCGTTCCTGGATGGACAAGTAAAACTGTACGGGTGGTCAGGAGAGTTAAGTGTTTAAAATGGGGAAACACAGAAACTCACAACGCCATTCACTTTTAATTCCTTCGGAATGGAAACCACGATCTCCTCGCGATCAGTAAGATTGCACTCTGTCTTGTTTCATAAGACACTGTCAAGCAGAAACCTGCTGAAATTGCTACCAAACGGTATTTTTTCAATGATCTTAATGAACACTGTCCATGACAGAGTTAAATGCCAGCGATCAGGTAAACGCCGAGAGCTGAATGTGGTTCGCGTTTTTCTGACAGCGTCAGTGTCTGAATCGTCTAACCCTACTAAAATAGACTGCCTCCACTTCGAAGATAGTGTGTTGCTTTCTTTTTGACAGTGAAACCATGCTAATGAAGCTTCGCAATAAGTCATAAAACAGGTAACAGTAGTCCCCTGAACACTTTGACGTGATTTTCTCGACAGAGCGAAATACGCATAAGGTCCTTGAAGACTGTTCGGTAGCGCACGGCCGGTTTCGACTATCTTGGGTCTCATCATTTGGGCAATTTCCCCGAAATTCCATCAACTTCATGCTCTACTCAAACAACAAACTTTGTGCGATTGTCGAAATCTACTCATTTGCGACATAACTTGGTACTAGCAGAATACTCTGTTGAATCTCCCGTACGTGATATTCCTGAGTTACGTCTCACACTGACATCGATCTAACTTGTAGATTATTGCATTTTGTCAGCTGCATACAACTTGGAAACTCGAGGACTACGCCTAAACAGTGGGTTCCAAGAATCTGTAACCGGCAGTCGGCTGTCGGAGCTTTTTCAGCGACTCTATGAGTACGTATTCTGTCAAGATAATTTACTATGACATCTCGAATAGCATACCAACTGGCGCATGTAGCGGCCTTTGAACAACACATTCATTTGAAGTATATCATAAGCGGGAGATCTGGCTGAGTCTCTCGTTGATAATAATGCTATTCGCAAGTTGGTGTATTTCGGCAATCTCAGTGTAATTTTCAGATAAGTGTAGGGTGAATATCATTAGAAACCTAGGGAGTCTGGACAGAGTCGATAGCAATGCAAATTTGATGAAGGTGAGAGAGGATTCGATCGGACTATTCTAGATCAGCAGGGAGACCACCCTTGTTAGAGTTATTGGTTAGTGGGTTGTTAAAACTAATGCTGTGAGGTCAACAAATGCTTGATTTCTCAGCGAATCTTTTTGAAGGTGATACAACTGAATAGCGATCCTCATTTCGGGTAGGTAGGATTCACGGTCTAATTCCTTCAACTTACAGTACCACCGTCGAACCCGTCAAAAAGAGACTGTACCTTTCTGTGCTTTAACGGTTTCTGTGCTTCCGTGATCCATTGAGCTGTACTAAGGCATCCCCGTGTGGCACTCGCATAGTCCCCAATGGTTAAAGGTATGTTCAGTCTCCTGACTCCTCAGTTTGGGGTTCGAAACATGTGCGGCGTTTTATTTGTTAGAGAGAAAGACTAACAAATTAGCGTTTTCCGCCAGACCCCGATGCCTTTCAGCCAGGCTTTTCAGTCAAAGGCTTTGGTCAAGTGGCTTAATCGTCCTCTAGGTGTGGGCGCCATGACGGTATTCCAACCAGCCACGTACAACCATGATACCTACAACTAAGGTCCAGTGAAGCATCAGTGTTGAACACTGATGTTACGCTGTCGATTATGATGACGGTGGCCTCCACTGAACAACCAACACATCTTAGCGAATATACACTCATCTGCAAACTAATCTGGTTCTTTCGAGAGACTCACCTGGAACCCAGCTGAATCTCTCGTTT